GCAGCACCGCCGGGCCCCCCGCGCGATCACCCCGCGCTGCACGCAATCACCGCGTTTCCTCGAGAACCGACTTCCGGCTCCGTGACAGCGGGCGGCCTCGCCCACACCCACCTTTCCCCGACCACGAACCCCAACCACGCCTCGCTCCCGCTCCCGCTGGGGCGAGGAAACCTGGCAAGCCGCAAATCTCGCGGGATTTCGCGCCCTCCGGAGTAAGCCAATTGAACCGCGCGCCCTCATCGAACCCCCGCGGGAATAGAGCATTGCGTGATGGGGGTGGGCCCGGCGGAGAGGGGGCGGGGCCTCAGGAAGGCGGGGCCTCAGGAAGGCGGGACTCTGGAGACCTGTTGATCGCAGGTGTCAGTGCCCAGACTGGCCCCGGGGTGGCGGAGCCGTGTGCGCATGCTCCTTGCGGGGTCGGAACCCAGTTCCCGGAGCACCCCGGCGCGGTGGCGGCTGTTGGGGTGTCTGTCGGGTGTCGGCGTGAGGCGGAGCGGGGTCAGCGCGAGGTAGCTCTGTGGGAGTGGAAGGCCCGGGTGCGCTACCTGGACAACACGCTCGCGGCGCCGGGAGGAGGCAGAGCTCCGGGTGAGTCTCCCAAACTGTAGTGGTGGGTGGGGACCCCCGGCCCGGGCCTAGCCGAGAACGAGTGTCTGGGTGGGGACCCACGACCCGCCACCCTCCCGGCCTGACCGGGATGGGATCCCCAAGACCTGCCATCCTCCGGGCCTGGCTGGGCACTAGTGTCTGGAGGGGAACCCCCCCCCCGACCTCTCACCCTCCGGGCCTGATCGGGAACTCGTGTCTGGATGGGGAGCCCCGGACCTCTCACCTTCCGGGCCTGATGGGGACCCCCAAGACCTGCCGCCCTGCGGGTCTGACCCGGGCACCTTCACCCCCGCCCATCCGTCAGCACCCTTCGCAGCCCCGCGACTCTGTCTGCACCTGACCCCGCGAGCTGCCGGGATCCCTGAGTCCCGCAGCCCCCTCCTGCGGCTCTGGAGCCCAGGCCTCTGGCCCGGCCGGAGGGCCAGGTGGTGGCCGCGGGGCCCGAGGGCGGGGATGGGGCAGACTCTGGAATCCAGCTGCGGTTCCTCCGGGTGGGTGGGGATCCGGGAAGGTGCGCTACCTTGGCGCCCGCCCCGGCCTCTCCCCGCGCTCTGGTCCCTTCTTGGGAAGGGAGAAGGGGCTGGATTCTCGAGAATCGTGGAGTTGGTGGTGTTCTTGGTGGTGCAGGACAGGTATAAAGTTAATGTTTAGCGTCCAAATAGCGCGACCAACTGCTTTTAAACAGTGTTGGAGAACGGGAAGTGCTTGCCCAGGTGTAAACTCTTGCAGTGTAAGGTTACCCCACTACGAGGTTGGTTTGTTTGTTGAAGCGGGGCTTGGGTGCTCACTGAGTGAGTTCGTTCTGCACCCCCTTATCTGTTAGGCAGCAAAGTTTTCTAAATGTTTCCTTGCCTAAGAAGAAAACAAAAACATACATACATATACTCTTTAAGGAATTTTCTAGGCTACTTTTGGGGAGACAGTTAATTGTGGGTTGCCTTAGCTTTCTGTGAAGTCTTGCTAATTTTCACTATTTTAAAAGGAATAGTAAAATGGACTTTTGGTAAAATTGACACATATTTGTTAGCTTTGTTTTCTGTACTTTTTAGTTTCTTTTTTTTTAACATTTTAAGTTTTTAAGAAGTGTTACTTTAAAAGAGGTAAACAGGGGTTACAGTTACATAAGTCAGGTCCTGAGTACATTTCTTTTTGGAAAATGTCACCCCGTCCATCATTCTCTCCCAGTTTTTCCTTTTTCCTTTCTTGATGATGGTCCTACGCAAAGATTCCTCCATCTTGTTAAAAAGGAAAAGATGAGCAAAACTTACTCTGTGAAAAGTAACATGTGACTTATTTACTCCGGTCATAGAATTCAAAATAGATTTACTGTAGGTAGGCATTATGAAAAATAAGTATGGTTTTACTTTTTTGTGTGTTTGTGGCTGGTGGGGCCTGTACTCTGGGCCTGGGCACTGTCTCCCAGCTCTTCAGCTGTAGACCAGCGCTCTACCACATGAGTCTCAGCCCCACTGCCTGCTTTTTCTGCTTATGTGGTGCTGAAGAATAGAACCCAGGGCATCGTGCATGCAAGGCAAGCATTCTACCACTGAGCCACCTTCCCTGTGCCTGGTTTTAGATTTGTATTTTACTGTTTTACTTTCAAAAGAGCTCACTTGGAGTTTGTTTAGATTTATAATTACTGGTTATAAATTATGAAGGTGATTTATTTAAAGTTGTTCATAAATTAACTGGTAGTGGCTTTTTCCCAGTCACCTAAAATGTGAAATTGTAGATTGCAAACAATTCATGGAACTTGACACTGATAATCAGTTCATTAATATTATTTTTTCTAAAAGATACAAAAGTAAAATTTTATGGAGAGGGAAACTGGAGATTGAAACTCAGGGTTTCATATTTGGTAGGAAAAGTTATGCGTTTAGCCCTCAAAAAGTAGTTTTTTTAAAAAGTTTGTTACTTTTGACACACTAAATATTCTTTCCAGCACTTGTAGGATTTCAGTATGTATTGTGATTCAAGATCTTTCATACTGTTCAGTGTCAAATATTTTATACTGTCAAGAACTAGTTTTGATACTATAGGTTTTAGAAGTTTTTTAAGCAAGATAAAACTAAAAATGAGAATTTTAGCCTACTTTAAGTTTATACACACTTTTTTTGTTGTTGTTGATTGTGGGGCTTGAACTCAGGGCCTGGGTACTGTCCCTGAGCTCTTCAGCTTCAGGCAAGTGCTCTACCCTTGAGCCACAGTGCAACTTTTGGTTTTCTGGTAGTTAATTGGAGATAAGAGTCTCCCGTGCTTTCCTGCCTGGGCTGGCTTTGAACTGTGATCCTCAGATCTCAGCCTCTTGAGTAGCTAGGATTACAGTCATGTGCCCCTGGTGCCCAGCTAAATTTATAAACACTTTTAAGAAGCATAATCAGTTGCCTTTTGGGAAAGTACTGGGCTGAAGGAATGTTGCTCGACTTTGCAAAAAATATATTTTTTATAAAGTAAAAGATTAAGCTTCTTGAAAAGATGTTTGGTTATTAAAATTCTTAGCAGCTCTTATTATTTGACAATTGTAATGCATTTTAACATTATAGATTCCAGAGACAAATTTCAATAGCTTGAAAGCTTATTTATTGCCTCTGTAACATTTTGAGTACATTCGGTAAGATGTAGAATTCTTGCTCATGAGCTCTTAGATGTATGTGTTTGTGTGTGTGTGAGTGTGTGAGTATATGAATGTGTATGTATGTGTGTGTATGTGGGACTTGAACTGAGGTCTTGGGCACTCACTGTACCTGAGCTTTTTTGCTGAAGATGGGTACCCTACCACTTGAGCCATAGTTCCACTCTGGCTTTGCAGTAATTTATTGGAGATAAGAGTCTCAGGGACAGTTCTGGCTGGCTTTGAGTCAGTAACCTCAGATCTCAGTCTTTTGAGGTCTAGAATCTGGCTAGGATTACAACTGTGAGCCACAGCACCTGGCTTATGAGTTCTTGTTTTAAGGAAAGACATGTGCTGGTTTATGTCATTTTTGAAGAGCTAGGTAGAAATTAGTGATGATATAAATGTAACATTGGTATATTACAAATTTCATATTGAAGAAATGTTTTTAGAAAAATGCTACTATACACATTATAGGAGCAACACATGGATGCAACAGATATTTATTTCTTCAGATAAAACCAGTCAATGGTAATTTAAAGATTAAATAATTTTAACCTTGGGAAGCAAGTTATGGTGAGTTTTTTTTAAAATGAATAGTTGGAACATTATAGATAATACATATACAAGCCAGGTGTCAGTGGCTCATGCCTGTAATCCTAGCTACTCAAGAGGCTGAGATCTGATGTTCAAAGCCAGCCAGGGCAGGAAAGTTCATGAGACTCTTATCTCCAATTAACCACCAGAAAACTTGAAGTGGCGCTGTGGCTGAAGTGGTAGAGTACTACTTGCCTTGAGCTGAATTGCTCAGGGACAGTACCTAGGCCCAGAGTTCAAGCCCCACAACCGACAAAAAATAAATATATAAAAACATAAACTATTTAGCCAAAAACATTTGTACTGTTTTCTTTCCAAGTTTAATTCATCTCCTCTATCTTTGTGCAGTCCAGGCTGGTCTCAAATTTGGACTACTTCTGCTTTGGCCTCCCAAGTGTTGAGATTATATAGGTTTTCTGTATGTTATTGGGTTTTCTTTATTAAAAAAGAAAATCCTATTACTTTTGGGCATCTAAAATACTACACAGAAGAAGTATTATTAGGCCACAAAATAATGTCCATGACATGGATGAAGTAGAAAAGCTTCAAATATTCATACTTATTTTTCAGAAAATAAAGATTTGTGCAGCACAATTCTCACGTGACTCTTTTGACTGTTTTAAGGAACAAAATCAGTTATCTGAGGTATGTTTAAAGTATTTCAAAGATAATTACACTAGTCTTCTATTTGATCATACTGATTTGAAAAAAAAAAGGAAATATTAGTCATTTGGAAGTTTTTTACTTTTTTGTTTAGTTTTGTTTCTGGGCTAGCACATTTATTTTAAAAAAAACATTTCTAGGCCTACTGTTGTAGGCTAGTCATAATTGCTTAGGCACTAGATTTAAAACTAATAAGATGATGTTTAAGTAGTCACAAATAAAAATTTGTTCTTTTGTAAGCTTCATCAGCTCTACCAATTCCAAAGTACATTGAGTTCTCAAAGGTAAAACTGTTTTTTATTGTATCTTCTACTTTGCAAGTTTCTACTTCTGTTCGCAATCCCCTTTCAAGTTCCTAGTCACTCACACAACACCAACAAAGGACAGTGTATTACTTCATTCTTATGTTACTTTGTGTATCTCTTGGATAAAGATTTATACTATGTTGCCGTAATAGGAAGGCAGAATAACTAAAGGAATATGAAGGTAATAACATGAGAGTTACTACATTGTTTGGGAAGAATATTGAAGAGACAAAGGATGGTAAAGTGAGCCAAACAGCATCTTCAGGAACCTGATTGATGAGCCCTATTTAGGTGTATTTTGGGATTCTAGTTATTCTTATAGCTGATGGATCATCATGTTATTCTATGAATTAAATTTTCACTAAAGATGTTTGCAGTGGTTTCCCTGTACACTACAAGATAACTTCATAAACAGGATTAGTGAACTCAGGGCCTTGGTCTGTCTCTAAGCTTTTGCACTCAAGGCTAGCATTTTACCACTTGGAGCCACAGCACCACTTCCAGTTTTCTGGTGATTAATTGTAGATAAGAGTCTCAAGGACTTTCCTGCCCTGGCTGGCTTTGAACCATATTCCTCAGATCTCAGCCTAGGATCTTAGCTAGGATTATAGTTATGAGCCACTGGCATCCAGCTTTTTACTTTTAAGTCTTTGTATTTTTTGAATCATTTTACATTTTACAACAATTTACATGGTTGTAAATTAGATTGTATTAATTGCATACTTACTGTATTTGTAGTATTTCTTTTGACCATAGCCCTGTGCATCTTTTTTTATGTAGATTTTTTTTTTATTACAAGTGATAAAGCTGACATTTTTACTGACTCAGTGGTTGACTTAATGTGTTGACGGGACTTGATCAAAGGAGGAATTAATATAGAATCAACATAGAATTAATATAGAAACTTGAAGTCAGTATCAGAATGTGGGTTCCATCTTTGTTAATAACCCTTCTGGGCATCCTTTGAGCATCAGATAGTTTATGCTTTGGCTTTTTTCAAACTCCTCAGCTTGCATTGTAAACTTCTTGCCCTTTTACTAATGGTCCTTTTACACTTAGGTGACCAGGTTGTTTGAGCCTTTATGAGACTTTTCTTCATATACATTGCTGCCATATAGGCTTGCTATAAAGTTCCTTTTTGTCATGTGGTGCTGACATAAACCTAGCTGCTGGCTATAGGAAATTGTCCTATACCTGCAGTGCCTGCCTTGCTAATTTTTTTTAGGAGCTTTCAGAGGACTTGTTTAAGATTTCAACTCATTTCCTGATCTTTGTTCAATAAATATTGAATATGTACCCTTACCTTGGGCTCTGGACTGTTCCAGATGCTTGGAATTTACTTTACATTCTCAAATTAAATAAGAAATATAGTGTATTTGAAGATAAACAGAGACAAGAAGAAAAGAAAAAGGGGAGTGAAGTCAGGAGAGATGGTGGTTTGGCATTTTAGATAAACATAGGCTACGTTTAGGAGGTGAGTTTTTAGCAAGGTAATCATGAAGGGAGGCAGGGCAAAGCCATGTGAGTTTCAGGAAGTTATATTTTTAGGCAGAAGAACACTGGTGCAAAGGCCTTGAACAGGAGCTTGTATGTATTCAGGAATCACAAGGGGGCCATGGTGGCAGGAATGAAGAAAGCCAAAAGCCAGGAAGTTAGAAGTGAAGTTAGGGGTGAGAATTCTGGGTAGATAATAAGGCTGCAATAGTATGAATGTTTGTGATTCCCTAAAATTTATGTGCTCATAATCCTCAGTGCCATAGTCTTGAGAGGTGGAGAGGTATCTGGTGATTAGGTCTTAAAGACAAAGCTCTTACGAATAGGTGCCCTTATCAATGAAGCTAGAGGAAGCCTGTGTATTTCTTCTTACCATTTGAGGCTGCTTCAAGGAAATACCACCTGTGATGCAGAAAGTGAACCCTCGCCAGACACCTTTATTTAGGGCTTCCTGGACTCCAGAACTATGAGCAATAAATTTCTGTTACTTACAAGAAATTTCAGCTATCATAGCCTTTACTTATAGATCTAAGACAAGAGTCTTTCAGCCTTTATAAGTCTCTTTAAAAAAAAAAAGTCTGAATGTTGTAAGGATCCATTGCAAAATTTTGACCAGAGGAGCATTATGATGTAATTTTAGAAGAAACTTAACCCTACAACCCTAGGAAATATGTAGGATTAAGACCCAAAAGAAATGAAAATGATGTCCTCAGGAAAACTCATACTTGAATATTGATAGTTACTTTAGTTATAACCCCTAATTGGAAGCAGTGCAGATGCCCTTCTGGTAAGTGGACAAACCAATTTTGGCAAAACCACTCACAGAATATTATTTAGTAATAAAACAGAATGAAGAGTTGCTGGTACAGATAGATACAGAGAGAGAGAATCTCAAGTGATATACAAACCCAAGAGTATTACCCCAATTGAAATGAGCCAAACAAGAAAGATTGTAGAGTTTCATTTTGTTTGAAATTCCAGAAGAGTTGAAATGATAGTGACAGAAAACAGACCAGCATTTTCTGGGAGTTCAATTCATAACATCATTATGAATTTGACAATCTAAAAGAACACCCATCTATTACTTTAAATTTAGGAGGTCAGAAATCCAGATGGGCTCAAGTAGTTCCCTGATCTGGTTCCCACAGGCTGAAGTCAAGGTCAAATGGACTGGCCTCCACCCTAGGTGGTGGCCAAGAGAAGAACCTGCTTGCATGCTCATTTGCACTGTCGGCAGATTTATTTCTTCGTAGGACTCAGACCCCTGCTTCTTTGCTATCTGCTAAACAGGATCTCTTCTCTGATCCAAAAGGCCACCCACATTTCTTCTCACAGAGAACCCCCTCTCTATCTTTAAAGCAGTAGTAGTAGCACATCAAGTATTTCTCATTTTGCAAAAGTGCTCCAGCCTGAGAGAAGAGATCTCTGCTTTTTAATGGCTCACATGATTTCAGTAGAGCCAACTAAATAATCCACTGATCTTTTTTATCCTTTGGAGGGATTTGAATTTAGGGCCTTACACTTAGTAGAGGAACTCTACCACGTGAGCCACATCTTCAGCCCTTTTTTTGCTCTAATTATTTTTCAGGTAGGGTCTTGACATTCATTGCCCAGAGCTGGCCTCAACTATTATCATCCTGTCTAATGCCTCTCACATCCCTGGGACCATCTTACATCTCTGGGACCATATGCTACCCTGCTCTCAACTACTTTTTGTCCAAGCTAGCCTCAAACCACATTCCTTCCAATCTCTACCTCCTGAGTAGCTGGGATTTCAGGAATGAACCACTGGACCCATCCTACTTAAATGTCAACTTATTCATCACATTTACAGGTTTTAGGGAGTAGAGTGTGAAAGCTGGGGCTCAGGGTGGGTATAGTTTTAGAATTCTGCTTATGACATTGTTAGAAGTTTCTTGGTGATGGAAATGATTGCTTGTGGTCATGATTATGGGACTGTAGTTTTGTTAGAACTCATTGAACTCTGCATTGGGATGTTTTGCTGAGCACAATGTACACTTCAGCAAAACTGGTTAATTGTAAAGAACTGGATATAAAAATACCAATTGAGAAAATAAATCAACACTAATGACATGACTGGCCGCTGGTGGCTCACACCTGTAATCTTGGCTACACAGGAAGCTGAGATCTAAGGATGGCAGTTCCAAGCTAGCTCCTGCAGAAAAGTCCTTGTGAGACTTGTCTCCAATTAACCATTCAAATAAACTAGAAGTGGCACTGTGGCTCAAGTGGTAGAGTGTTAGCCCTGAGCACAAAGAGTCTCAGGGACAGCACCCAGGCCCTGGACAAGCCCTACAACCAACAAAAGAGAGGGAGGGGGGTAGGGGGAAGGATTTAATTGGTATTCTTACTTCTAGACTTTCTCTTAGGGTTAGATTCCCTCTGGTGTACTTCCCTTTCTGCTACCAGCAAGGAGGTCATAAAACTGAAGGTTATAAAGTTGGGTGCTCTGAGCCACTTCAGCCCCAGGCCTTATTAAATATTGTAGCATGTGCACAAAACGTAGAAGATTGTGGCTTCAGTGGGTTTATTTATCTGACTAGCTGTTGTGCTGTCACATAAAATAACTACTAAGAAAAATACTGTCCTTTTGGCGCCAGTGCAACTGTCATCATCATAAGCCTGGTTTGACTGACTTTCTTTTATCCTTCTTTCTGTTTTCATCTGTCCTTTGGTTGGTTATGCTTCTATGTGTTCGTGATTTGCAAACATTATGTCCAGCCCCAATCACAATCCTGGAAAAGATGTCAAGATGAACTTGTTTATTTGGATGTCAACTAGACTACTTCTTTTGGATGTTGTGTAGAAGCTGAGGCATTCTGTTCTGGAGGGAGCTCCACTGTTTGCCAAAACAAAACTCATTTTGCTGCCTAAGTTGGTGCAGGCATCCCTCTTCTGGTCCAGGTAGAAAACTGGGAAGTTGCTTCTCTGGCTGATGACTTCATTTCTGAGAGGCCTGTCATCCTCGTCCTATAATTCTACTCCCCTGTAGGGAAGGCCTGAGCCTCTCTTCACATCCTTGGCTTGCACACTTCTTCTCCTCAGAGAGCCCCAAATAATGGGGTAATTGTTGCCAAGTTGATGCATAGTGAGTACTAGTATGCTTTAATTTACAATCTTTTAAGGTTCAAATGTGTGTTTATTAGCTATGTGATTGTCTCC